GTGTGTGCGTGTGCGTGCTGTAAACGGTAGGCTGTTATAATACAGCTCTCCACATGTGAGCCTCAGAGCCCGATTCCTTTGGACTGCTTTGACTCAGCCAGTGTTTGATATGAGCTACAGCAGCTGTTGCTGATTGCACTGATTTATGAAGTGTGTTTATTATTCCTCTGTTATGGAACACAATCATATTCATGAGTTCAACTGAAATTTCACTTAAGTCTGTTTTAAAGAAATGAACAATAGTTTCCATCAACTGTGCTGTACATGTATTTTTGATAATTTGTTGGCCATGGTTCCACATTATTAATTACACTTAGCTGACAATTGTGGGAGTCATTTCTACAATATTACTTTAAAATAATCCTTTTCCTTCCTTTTCCTATATTCAGCACAGGTACTATATTACATGTTACTATAACAATATTAGATAGATCAACACACATGCAATGTGCAGAAAATGAATCTATCTAATATAAATTTTGGGCAGATTTCATATCACTATAGGAGTGACAGGATTATTTATAACATATTAGGATGACTCTTGTCAAAAATAGTTTTCAGTTATACAGCACTATTAACATAATCCAGCAGGTGTGTGATATAGCATATATACAGTATGGGAAATGAGCTTGACAGTTCATTCTTAACCTTAGAAACCAAGGTGTCTAAAGGTATCAGACACTTATATTTAATGCTTTTAAAGACATTTTCAAGACCACTTTTAACCAAATTTAAGACTGATCTTTGGACTTTAGCACTATTCGGAACGGATTAGCATTACATGGGCACGTGGGGTAATGTCATTTTACCACAGGATGTCAGTAATATTAATGGCAAATTCGCACGGGATAAGAAATATTAGTAAAACTACCACAAATGGGAGGGGTAAATCCATTCAAGCACCGCCGTCCCCTCCTGTAGTCACGTGCGTATGACGTTGCTTTCCTGTGCGTACCACACTCGAACACACTTGAATCGTGTTCGTCGTAGGCCCACAGTACCTGAGGTTTCACACGGACTTGTCCGACTGTGAAGTGCAAAACTGAGTGCTTCTTCAAGAGCCTCCATTCTTGAAAATCCACGAAAAACCACTTGTAAACAGGATATGACAAAATATCTACACACATATTTACTGCTAGTCTATTCGCACGGGATTAGTATTACCTGAGGTAATTGTCTGGGACCCTTTTACAGAAGGTAAAAGTCACGGTAATCTTTACTGACATCCTGCGGTAATGATTACTGATATGGCACATTCGGACGGGACTAAAATCTCTGGTAATTATTACTTTACCCCTTGTCCCTATGTAAAACTAATCCTGTCCAAATAGGGCTTAATCATCTTTTTCTTATTCAAACACTGCAGGTAAGTATTATGGTAAGTATATGTGGTCCTGTGCAAAGGTAAGTTTTATATAAGAATATGGTTAGTTAAGTGAGTTAGGACAATCTACATTTTGCCAACAGGTTAAGCTGCAAGTTTAAAGTGAAAAGACAGTATTAGGTTCAATGGTAGATTTAAAGATTTGTTACATCAGGAAGGTGGACTTTCATGAAGAGGAGCTTGACTCTTTTTGACAAAAAGAAATTAAATTTAAATTAGTTAACATGATTGTTGCAATTAAGACCTAACCAATGCACATCTAAGAGTATCTAATGACATTTAAGGCCTAATATTTATTTTAAAAAATGAATTTCAAAAACTTTTTAAGGACCTGCAGACACCCTGGGAAACAGCAGTTGACAGAACAATCTGCACTTAAGGTCAACTTACTCCCTTCTTCTGGTGCTTCCAATCATATCACATATGGTCCTCATCAGCAAATCAAGTTTGCTTGCTTGTCAGATAACTGAAGATATCGAAACCTTCCATTATTTTGCAATGCTTTTGTTTCAAGACTGTATGTACACATCGGCTTCAGACTTGAAACAACTGAGCAGACTTCCTCCACTGATGATGACTGTGTGATGCTGTCAAAAGCTCCAGGACAAGCAAGTAAGTGGACCTTGAGCGGCTTTTGCAAAGTCAATCTCACAAAGCAGAGACACTTATATTTTTCATTCAGTTTGTTCAGCAAGCAGATGTCACTCCAAAGCCATGCACAGAGCATTCCAGTTTAGCCAGGGTAAATACAGTTCTTCTATTTGCTGTGTTAAAATCTTAAACAAGGTCTGTAAAGTTAATGTATGTCATGCTGTTACTAGGATAAACATTATGTGAAGCTGTTATAGTCTACAGTGAGAACCAGATGGAGGCGATCCACTTTAACCAGAAAGCTATATATCATTTGAACATTTCTTTTTAATTTATTCTACAATTATTTTTGTCCACCTAGTTTTATATTGTAAGCATGATAGTTATTTGGTGGTGGATAAGAAATTTTGTAAAGGGTTTCTGCTGCTCACTGCACTGTATTTTAAGTTACAATCAAAATAATTTCAACATTTCAACTGCACATCAGCTTTGGGAAAGAAAGAAGACTTTCCAGTCAGGAAAGACTTTGTCTGACCTCCCCTTCAGAGCACGTTACTTGAATATCCATCCTTTTGTGGTGAGATTTAAGAAGTGATTTTGATGGCAGATTAAATAAAAAGGATGCTGGTTTGTTTGTGAAGCTGAGAAGAAAACGTCAAAATCACAGCCACAAAATGTAACTGACCTTTCGTCATTCTTCAGAGGATGCAACCTGAACTGATGTTGCAAACACATGATTTCAACATGATTTTGCCAGTTGCGGAAGTTTAAACAAACACCTTTTTTTAAATTCAAAACTTCACGGAGAACTATGACGACAAACAACAACTCGGTTTAGTTCCACTTGATATCTAATGCATGAAAACACCATTATATAATGCTTTTGTTACACAGTGCTGCACAAGTAAATCTTTTAGTAAGTTTTTTATTTTAAACAAATGAAATTCCTTCCAAAAGTAACACACTCAACACCTTGGCCATGGCTGGATTATGAGACAATGGGCCCCTGGGCACAGATATGCAAAAGGCCCCATCACCCCTCCTACATAGGAGCAAGAAATACAGACTTTGTGGTGCGTTTGAGTCTTTTTATTATTGTTTTGCATCTCTTTGTAGTCATTATGCATCTTTCTGAGATAATTTTGTGTATTTTTTGGTCATTTTTTTGTCTCTTTGTGGTTGTTTTGCCCCTTTTGTAATTACTGTGTTTTTCTCTCTGCAGTTCCTTTACATGTTTTATGGTTATTTTAAGTCTTTTCCTGGTCAGTACGTGTTTCTTCCAGTGACATTTTGGAGGCGAAGGCCAGCGGGGCCCCTGGGTCTGTGCCCTGTAGCCTGTTCAGTAACCCATCCACGCCTTATGCATGATGCCAGGATTGGTATTTTACCATATTACTTGAATACCGTTTTTACCTCAGAGAACAGTTTAGGAAGCATTACACTAACATTAACACTGTCTCACTGTTACGGCTTACTAAACATCGCATGGTGCACTAATTAGGCAGCCCAGTAATGTAACCCACCTGCAACGCAATGCAAAGCACAGTGTGCAATGCAGAGCGAAAAGCAGCACACAGCTCTGTATAGACAGAGGCCTGGTCAGAGGTGGGTGGATGGAGTATAGCTCACGCTTTGGCAGCAGGCCAGCTGCTGTAGCCAACACACAGTAATTGTGTTTGGCAACACATAACCCACCATAAATACATCCTCCATATACCTATTACAATATTGACTGTTTTCAGCCTTAAAAATGCTAAATTAAAGCAGATTCTATCTGATTGTGTAAAGGACTACGGCATTATTTTAATAAGTTTCCTACAGGGCTCAAGTTAGTGATAAAGATTTTTTTTCTTGCCTTGATGCCAAAAATGATTAGTGCACATAAAGAACATAGCCAACAAACAGATTTCAATACAAGGCATTTAAGGATGCAACAGCACCCGCTTAGGAGATGCAACGTCTAAGTATGCAATTGTTCATTATCCCAAAACATTATTTGTGCAATCCATTAATTTTAAGACTCATTACGAAATGTGGGACATTTTGGGGGTGCAAATTCATTTTTACCAAAAGTTACGATGGTAGAAAAGTAATTAAAGTAACAGTTTAATGAAATCATGAACCATACATGGAGTCACTGGAGATTGTGCATAAATTACTTCAATTAATCACACGCACACTGATTCAGATGATAACTCTGAATCACAAAGTTGGGAATCTTCTCTCACTTTTACTCTCTGTCCATTTCTTTCACTTGCTATTACTTGTGTGTTTTGGTGCCTGCGTGTGTGTATGGATGCACCATTGCTTTGTTTGTGTGTGTCACTGAAGGGGCAGTGTGTTGGGGAAGGGCCAAAGGTCTGGTGCACCCTGGAGAACGGACAGGGCCGAAGCCGCATCTCCTACCCTCCCTCCCATCCCTCCTCCCTCACCCTGTGCTGTCATGGGATGTCTCCGTGGGTGACGGTTTCCCTGGCAACCGAAGCCCTGTGAGGAGGCTGCATTGTGCACTCCGAGGGTGATGCAGAACGGCTTGTTGAAGGTGGCGAGGAGGGGGGGAGGGGGGGGGGGGGCAAAGTGATATCGGATGGAACAGGCACACAAGCTACACAAGCAGGGTAAACAACTTTCAGCCATTACTCACCACATGGCTCTGTTTCTTTTTTTCATCCTTCTCGCTAATCAACACTAGACCCTGATTAAAACAGCAACGCCAGCCAAATGAACTTCCATTTGCATATACATGCTGTGTAAAATCAGAACCGATGCCAGAGTGTGAATTCACCTTGACGTGGCCGTGTTAAATGTATCAAACAGTCACGTCTAAGTAGCTGAACGCTCTGATTTGCTGTAGTTACAAATCCATTTCCCGCTGTGTTACACAGACAGTGCGAGTCAGGCCAAAAAACAACCTCAGAGCGGCTTCTTTTGGGAACCTGCAGCTTGATCCCCCTCTTTAGATCCTAACGTGTGATGGGTATTTTATATAGTGGAGTTTATTCAAAGGAACAGTTAAAATACTTACCCCTCCTGTGTTTGAAAGACTGTTCTCAAAGGTGGCTCTATCAGGGCGCCCCCTGCTGTCTCTAAGGGTGTACACATCCTCCAGGCTGCCAACCTGTCAGCATAGAAACAAATGTTGTGGTCACCTTCAGGACATAAAGGGTTACAGAACATGTGCTCTGTTGAGTGCCTTTTATTTAAGAATTTGTTAGAAAGATTGTGCCCTCCAAAGCTAAGGATATGATAAGAATGCAAAAGACGCTTGGAAAATCATACAAGTGTTTTCATCATTACAGAGAGACCAGTACGCGTACAGTGTGAGGGTCAAAGCACATAACGCATTCAGCCTTAATCACCCATATGACCCTTTGCACAACATGATATCAGCGTATCCCCTCCGGCCATCTGTCTTGTGTGGGTTTTTCTGCGAGAGGTGGGCCGAAATCAAATAGCACACAGTTTATCTAACCTTATCCTGGGCTTTTCATTTCCAAGCCTTATAAACTCAAATCGTATTGACCGCCTGGGAGAGTTAGAACTAACTAAGTGAAATCTACTCGCCGGCAATTGTGTGCAAGGCGCGCGTTGTGTGTGTGTGCATGTGTATGTGTGTGTGTATGTGTGTGTGTGTGTGTGTGTGTGTGTGTGTGTGTGTGTGTGTGGCTTGCTGATTCTATCTCCCTTCACATTCATTCTCTCTATTCTCTGTCCCTGAGGTGCATCAGGGCTGAGACTGCAGAGTAAATTGTCCCAAATTGAGTTCCTTCTTGCCGGCAGATACAGGCCACATCCCGACCGTTTAGAGCGAGAGAGAGAGAAAGAGAGAGAGAAAACAATCACAGCACACATCACTCGCTTGAAAATTTTCTCTCTAATTTCTCTCTTTGCCTTTCTTTTCTACTCACCCTCCCTGTCTCTCCCTCTTTTCTCTCTCCTCTGCTGATTTCCCTGCTGCCTCTCTTTCTTCTCCCGGCACATTATTCTTCTGCTTCTCCCTCTTTATATCACTCTCTGTGTGTCTTCCCTTGTCTTTGTCTGCTGAGATAGGTACACATCAGTCTTTCCTTGCTCAGCTTGGCTTTTTCCTTCCTTTGATGATTCTCTGCCCTCCTGCTCATTCCCCTTCCTCCATCTTTTTCTCGTCTTTCTCCCTTGAACCACTGCTACTTTTCTCCATCACCCCCACCAACAGTTTTTCCTCTTCCTTCCCCATGTCCTTTCCTCACCCTGGTTTCTATCCCTCCTTTGCTCTCTCATCCCACCCTCCATGGCTGGCTGTACCCGGTGACATCGTACCCATCAGCGCAGACCTCCTGGGTGGAGGAGTCTCGCTCTGACAATAATCACACAGTAAGTTTAGAACGCTGGCAGCCCAGCTGAGCTGAGCTGAACTGAGCACACGCGACTCCCCTGACGCCGGCACACTCCATTTAACTCAGCGGGGGAGCTGCAGGCTGGCTGGGGCAGGGATGAAGCCCGAGACAGGGATAGGGATGCCATAGGGTTTTTGGGATAGGGGGGCACTGGGGGCTGGTGATGGAGCAGTGACTGGAGACAGATATGGAAATGGGATGAGGAAGGATGGCTGGAGATGAAACTGGTGCTGCAGGGGATGGACAGGGGGTAAGGTTTTGGACTTTTGGGTTTGGGCGGAAAGTGTTTTTTTTCCCCTCTCTCTTTTTTTAAAATGCTCATGTCACCGTCTCTGCATGGAATGATAACTCCTCTCCACTTTCACTGCATGCTCTCTGCAAAATCCCCCCTCTCTCTCTTCCCTTAGCTTTTAGGGTGTTTATTTCTTGTACTGGCACCAGGGTCATAGAAACTTCTCTTCAACTGGAGAACTGAGTTTTCAAGCATTTACACAACAAAGATCCCTCTTGCTGAAGTCCCTACCAGCCCCATGGGTGCTGTAACTAACCTTAACCTTTGATCTCACTCAGAAAAAAACAGCAAAGAAAAAATAAACTCCCTCTTGGAATCAATTAAGAAACACTGATATTTTCTATTTCTTACCGCCATTCTCCCAGAAGTGAGAAGATAAAACTGGAGATTTGAAGACTACACATAAGATTGGAACAAGCATAACCAAAATTGTGGCAAAATCAAAGGTTGCTTCACCCAAATTTATGATTTGCTTTTTTCCCCCATGGGTCTTGACTGGTGTTTCGCAACACAGACAGCTTTGGTGCCACTGGTCCAGGCTTTGGGATATATTTCTAAGAAACTTCTGCCACATTAATACAATGGAGGTTAAAGGAATTTCATTTGAAGTGGCCACAGCATCTAAGAAAGTCATTTTAACTCAACAGCATTGTGTTGCTCCTTGGCACTGCGCACTGTGGAGCTCTCCATGGTGCTGATGTGTGTCTGTGGCTATGAGCAGATAGGGAGCCAAGCTGGGTGGTTTCTCTCGCTTCTCTCCACACCAGCGGGAAGTCCTAGCCAAATTCTTGACTTTACCTGTTGCCTAATGTTTGTTGTGTTCAGCACCATAGATTGACAGATGTCTAGTTATAGTAGTTAGATCTAGTTAGAGTCAGTATTAAGTTATTGTCTAATTTACTAAGAAATATCTCCCCCTTTTCTCTGTCAGCCTTGTGTGTTTTAAGTAGCCTGGCAAGCTAATGGCCAGAATGGCAAAAAGAAAAAAAAAACAAGGTATCACAGCATGTGTTTGTGTCTCAAATTTGGCAGCACCACTAATGTTCACTTGGGCCTTTTTTTAAAGACCCAGGTGCATGCCAGCTTCAGGTAACAGTTTAAGGCTCAGTTCAAGTTAAAAGCCATGCTGGCTGAAGAGTTTTGTTTAACCAAGATAATATAGCTCTTTAAGTGATGGTAAATGGACTATAATTATACAGCGCTTTTATCCAGAGCTCTTTATAGTACTCATTCACACACACACACACACACACACACACACTGGTCTAACCATCAGGAGCAGCTCGGGGTTCACTGTCTCGTTCTGTGATATGAGAGGAAAACCCAACGATTAGCTGACGATCTGCTCTACCTGCTGAGCCACAGCCGCATCTCCTGTGTCCAGCCTTTAACTGCACTGTAGTCTTCAGATCTCACCATCAGCAGTTTCTATATGGATTATTTTTTCAGTAGGAAGTTGTTCAAGTACGGTATGGACAATCAAGTCCATATACATTATATTGTGAAGAACATATTGCATTTGAATCCTTTAATTACAGTTTTTCATTCACATCCACTGAAGTGGGAGCAGAAATCTAGAGGCAGATATCTCAAATGTCAGAAAATATAAGCATAACTATTTGGCCAGGTAGCACTGCAGCTAAGTGAGACAATCTGTCTTTTGTAATCTGTGTGAACCAACCCTTTAAATTGTAATAGCAGTCAGCGACCCATAAAAACAGAGAAACACTTCCTGCTAAATGTGTCACTTTGACAACTTGACATTATTGACACTGGCTGTGCATAACGTACACACAGTTAAAACTACAGCTGTACATGAAAATTAGTGAGCAATTTCAATCCAAAACAAACACGCACACGCCCTCACAAATAGACACACACCCACATCCTCGTGCCCTGCCAGAGCAGGTTCACAGCAAAACAATATGAGGCCAATCAGGGGACCATTGGTATGGCTCTCCCTCTGCTAATGAAGGCACTTTGAAAAGGTAATCTAATTCACCAGCAGCAATTAAGGCTGGGAGCGCCTTGTCACTATCAATTATCCGCTCCTTCACTCATGTTCTCCAGTGTGGACGCTGAGCCTGCCTGACACACAGCACTGTCGGACAAATCAACCCCATCAGCCAGCCAGTCACTGAGAACACTAATCATGAGAGTTTTCAAACACACACACACACACACACACACACACTCAGACACACAGATAGATACTGTATGCTTGAATCATTGCACGATGAACTAAGTGAGCTTGACCTAAATTGGGATGTCCTGCGGTCAGAGGTAGATCTTTATATAGAGGGTCCATAAACAGTATAGATACTGGATCCTACAGAGTGCTACTGCAGGTGGCATGCTACTGTCAAGTGTTTGGTGTGTGTGTATGTGTCTACAAAGTAGAGATTTCAACTTTTTTTTTGGTCTAATGGTCAGACAAAACGCATTTGAGGAATACTGTTGTTGTTGTTGTTGTTGTTTTTTACCATTTTCTCACATGTTATAGATCAAACAATGAATGAATCCAAAAATAATAATCTGTACATACATCGCAAATGAATCCACATTAAATGAAAGTATTTTAAGACAAATATTCAGCTGTGAGAAGGGAAAGATCCAGATATTGTAGATGCATCATATTGTTAAACAGTGCCCATTCTTATATTTATCGCTATTAGTTTGATAGTCTTTGGTTTTTAAATCGGATAAATCAAACAAAATATAGTATTAACCCTGTCAGATTGTAGCATCTTGTGTTAGATTTCATGGAAATATAGTAAACTCTAGAGAGCTTTTGGATGGTGCAAGCCTCCAGCAAGGTTAACAAAATCCTGTAAACTGGCCATTTTATTAATGATTTAGTTTTAATTTATTCTGGAGAATACAGTCCAGATGCAGCAACAGGGGGCATGGACCTAAGCAGGCAATGGACTATGTGTTCTTGCGGTCAGAGCTCTGGAGGGTTGAGCCACACCAGATCAAAGTCCTGATTTAACCAGTCGATGACGTCATCCCCAGCCAATCTATCATATTCTGCTGGGGCTTGGCAGAAACTCCAGTGTGCCTGCTGAGCCAAAGAAGAGGATCCTAGGAACATATTCTAAGCTGATACCCAAAGGCCCTGGGAGATGGGCCCTATCACTAGCACCACAAGTGCTGAGGGTCATAGTGGATGTCATCAGCACAGGGATTTCTCATAGCAAGCAGCAACAACCAGCGAGACAGTCCAATCACCTTGGTCAAGTCCAGCAGGAGGGCTCCTTGCTGCAACACAGACCTGGAACACAAGGTTGCCCATGGGAGACAGGTTAGAGTCCTTGTCCAGTGATCACATCTAGATGAGACATGGACCTGGTGCCTAAAACAAAGCAAATGGTCCTGCTGGAGTTAACTGTTTCTTGTGAAGACCAGATAAAGGAGGCCTTTTATAGAAGGAGGGCCAAGTACGAGGGG